GATGATGAACAATCTTAATGCTTTCATGCAAAATGAACACTAAGCATAAGACGTACATATGTAGACATGCACACATGTATGTGTGTGTACCCACACACGCATGTGCGCGCCTAATGGAAGCATGCCATGATTAGAACAGAATGAAAAATTTCCTAAAGGATTTCACTTGGATAAATTCCCGAAACATCAACAACAGCGTTGGTCAAAAGTGCACGATCTAGAAGTCACTGAGCTTACTGTCAGCATAGGTGGCTACAGACCAGAAGCCAGGTAATAAGGAGAAAAAAAGTGCAGTGCAATGATTTTATTCAATGAATTCAAGAGTATAGTTTAACTTAGTTTTTACTATTGAAAAAGCTTAAACAAATGTTGGGGAACTCTTGAGACCCTACTATTTGTGACAGCTATTATTTTTTTTTTTAATTAAAGAGACAACTATTATAAACTGACTTTGCCAATGATACAGGCCTAGGTGTCATGGGGGAAACTGAAGAAAAAGACAGTCTTTGCTTTCCTGTTGAGGTGCTCATAATCTAGCAGGAAATAGTGTAATAGTAACACAGTGACTATTGCTACAGTGATTCCACTGCGTCAGTCACTGTTCTAGGGTCTTTTAAACTTATAACTAAATTATGGTAACCCTATGAGGTTGGTGAGGTAGGTAGGCACCGAAATGTGATAATGCCGTACAGAATGAAGCCCTGATGCTCCCTGCTTGTTAAAGCAGAAAGGTCATGCGTGGTGGACGGACATGGCCTTGAGTTCATGTAGAATGTCTGCCCCTAGTAAGGTGTAATTTTGGAGTCTCACTGACACTCTTTGCCATTTAGTTTTTGCATTAATTAGTAATACCAACCTTGCAATACACGATAAAGATGGGTGTAAACTCGTCGTTTGTAGTTAGCTCTCAATATAAAGAAGTTCTATTACTCGTTAGGTAAGGGGATTATGGGAACAATCGTAAGGTAATGGTTGGTCTTGGAAGAGTTCAGTAAGAAATGGCAGGAAAAGTTATATGAGAACGGAGCAGCAGTTGATACAAAGTGTCCTGTTTATAGTGGACAGTTCATTTTTAATTGTAAAAAGGGAGAGAGGACAAAGGGTGAGCATCCTGTTGGTGAAGATAAGCTTATTATTTTGGGTTCTTTAGATCAGAGATTGTCAAACAGCAGCCTGCCTGTTTTTGTACAGCTGAAGAGCTAAGGTTGGTTTTACATTTTTAAATGATTGAAAATAATCGAAAGAAGAATGTTGTGTGTATGACAGGTGAATTCAAATTTCAGTGCCTGTAAATGAAATGTTATTAACACATGGCCACAGGGATTTATTTCCATGTGACAGAGAACGTGTGGCTTGCAAAGCCTAATGATTTACTGTCCGATCCTTCCAGGAAAAGGTTGCCAACCCCTGCCGCAGTTACAGAGTTCAGTATTGTTTAATCCTAAATTTTATCATCCCTTGATGGCAAAATCTTGAAACAATCCTATTTTATAGTTTTCAGAAGACTATACCAAACGAGCTGCTCTTTTCTTTCAGTGTCTGACATAGACGTCACCTGACAGATGAAAGAGCAGCTTCTAGAGGTCCCAGGAAGGCTCTGTGGGGTCACCACGTGACTCACACCTGATACCGCGTTCTTATGGATTCTACATCCCGCTTGCTATTGTGGATGACAGCACAAGCAGTGTGTTGGTTAAAATTCCAATTACATATATAGTCTCCAGTGATGTGTGGGTTCAAATATTGACTAGGATATGTTTAGACATTACCCTATATGTCCTTCCCTTTCTTTTTCCTTCATCTTTCTTCAATTGTCATTTAAACATTTTCCCCCCCAATATAACCCCTGATCATTAAATCTAATAGTTATGAAATGTCTTTCTTATATAAAAATCAATAAGAAAGAGAAACAGGAGTTAAAATTTTATTGCGAAAGTCTTTTCTTCAATTAGTTGAACAATCCTATCCATCACCCCACACCCCACTTTGCAAATTAGCTGTCTGGCTTATTCTGACTTGTTCTGGATGTCATTTTGTGCAGCATTTCCTTTTGTCTGTAATTTTGATTCATAGCCTTTCATATGAATTCTTTTATTGCTCTATTTTCATAATAGCTTTTAGGCAGCCAATCATAATGCATGATACTTTGTTTCTTTAGGACTTAGTAGCATCCAGATGTCTATACCTCATGTTGTTGCCTTTTAGACACATTAAAAGAAAAAAAAAAAACCAGATTCAGGTTGCTATAAAATAATTGCACTCATTTGTTCAGTAAACTTTAAATTATTCATAAGCCAGACAAACTTTTACTTGAATACAGAAATACTTTGTATCCCTTTTGGGTAAACCTGAATGTCTATCTTAAAAATTGTGGTCATTTTCAATTGTTTCAAAGGAGATGGTGAACAGGATTTTTTTTAAAAACACAGTCAATCATTCACAGGCATGTAATATATGAAAGTAAGGCTTCTCTCATAATTTGTCAGTTTTCTAAGTAATGCAAGAACACACAAATAGGCTAATACCCAAGCTATTTGTATGTTTAGAGCTTCTAAGTAAATGTATGTAGGTAAGTAAGAATGCTTTGTTTTATTAACAGCACCCTAAGTAAATATTGGATTTATATGTATAGTTCCAAGAAAATTGTAATGCCAAGGTCAGGTTTCTTACAAGACAGTTTGCATCACATTCCTGATGATCCTTTTAAAAATACACCTGCTACCACAACTTGCCTGTTCCCTGTCCCCAATTCCCCAATAAAATCGTAAAAAAAAAAAAAAAAAAAAAATACACCTGCTGTGCCTTAACCTGGATCTGTTGAATCAAAATCTTGGAAGAGGCCAGGCATGTGTTAGGAAGTCCCACTGAGTGGGTCTGACTCTCGCCTTTGGTTGAGAACCATTGGGCTACACGTGTTTTTAGGTAACAGGCAAATGAAAATGGCAGTCTTATAAAAAAAGCGCTGAATAAGGGCCGGCTGAGTGGCTCAGTTGGTTAAGAGCTCACTCAAGAGTTTGAGCTCTTGCTCAAGAGTTTGAGCTCTGAGCAACAGTGGTTCGATGCCTGGCCCGAGCTGAGCTGCCAACAGGTGGCAGGATGGCTCAACTAAAAACAAAACCCCCAAAAACTTAAATAAATAAATAAATAAATAAATAAATAAATAAATAAATAAATACAAAGCACTGAATTTGTTAATAAGGTGATGTTTAGGGTGCTGTCTACCAGATGCCCCAGCATTTTCATGGGAAACCTCAGATAAGAATTAAGCCTTTTCTCATAGTAATTCTATGATGTTTTCTGTGGTCAAGAAAAACAGCACATTTGATTGTTTTCCCCCACCTTCCACTTTGGCCATCAGGATTCTCTGGGACAAAGGTCAAGTTCAGTTTTGCATGTCTCATGGCCTGGATAGCCGCTTTCTACTTTTTTCTAATTAATGAAGAATTTATTGAGCCCCTTCCATGTACCAAATTCACAACAGGCATGGAGAATGCTAGCAATGAGCTGAACAGTCTGGATCTTACAATCTGCAGGATGAGACACGTTAAGCCAATAAGCATTTCAGTAAGTGTGTCCTGGTCTTGATATGAGACTGATATACAGACAGGTTTTGAGTATTGATTTATATATTTTCCCCACGGTACTAGCCAGACATGAGCCATGTTATCCTTTTATGTAATATTTATGTGCAAACATATGCACACACACATCACATGTACAGTGTATATTTTTATATTTTATATATATGTGTGTATGTGCTATATTTTATATAAGTAGTGTGTGTATACTCTAGTCTGTATATGTTGCATATATACATGGAGAGAGAGAGAGAGAGTTTGTATACATATATCCTGTTTTGTATTTGCATAACTACATTGTTTTATTTAATCAGCATCACATCTCGGTGGGACAAGGTGGACTATATCCATAACTACAGGTGTGCTCACACATGCTCATAGACATGGGTCACAATTCTCAACATTACGTTTTAGTCCATTTTTCTTAGTGCTTTTTTATGAATTACTGACAATTACATAAATTATGCTTTGTATCTGATAGCATTTCCGTAGCTTTCTTTACGTTTTAAAATTTTTATTTTACATCGTTAAATGTAAAGACCATTGTGGGGCACCATTTTAGTGGTGAGATAGAGACTGAAAATCACAAAAACCTGCGCCTCTCTGAACCCTTTGCAGAAAGAGAAGCATGTTATTCTTACAAAACCTTCACCATGTTGTGTATAGATACTTTTTTATTTTTTCACAGATTTAATTCCCCTTCCATTTTTTAAGCTACCGTACTTTTTGACTGGGGTCAGTATTTCTGAGGACAGCGTTAGCATGTTACTCCTCTTGGAAAGTTACCAAATAGACACTCTGGACTAGAACTGACAACCGCCTGATCTAACTGAAGACAAGGTCCGTGTAGACTGAAGGAGGAATAGCAGACGGAGCCACAGCGGGGGCTTCATGAGGGGAGTCCCTGGGTTGTGAGATGGCAGTGTCATCGTGCCCCCTCTGATACTGCAGCCGCATTTGGGACACCGGAAACCTCAAGATTGTAACAGAACCCCCGAAATCAATGCAAATCACCTTTTAAATGAGAAATTGATTCAGTGGAAAGGTGCTCTTCTCTTTCTCTTTTTAATGTGTCCCCGTGGATAGTGCAGCTAAACGACATGCTTGAAGACGAGGACACTGATGTCCCTACTGGAAAAGGGTTTAAATCTTATCCGTTGTCTTTCAAATAATATTCCAAACACCTGCTTCACCCAGGCAGCGCAGGGCAGCAGAGGGGAGTCAGTTGCTCGAAGGCGGTTCCCCTTGTCTGCGAGCCAGGGAGGCGGCGAGGGCTCTGCCTGGCGGTATTATTACTTTTGAAGGCTGGTGGTTCATTTGGTGGCAGAGTCCCTTCTAGGCTTATTGACTCCAGAAATGAAAAGGCCGTGCTTCCCTAACCACTTCATTTGTGATTTAATTTTCTTAATCACTGTCTTGCAGGACCTGGATTTTGAAGCCAAAACAAGTTACACTCTACGGATCGAGGCTGCAAACAAAGACACGGACCCTCGCTTTCTAAGCTTGGGGCCGTTCAGCGACACGACGACTGTGAAGATAATCGTAGAAGATGTGGACGAGCCCCCCGTGTTTTCGGCACCCCTGTACCCCATGGAGGTGTCAGAAGCCACCCAGGTTGGGAACATCATTGGTACGGTGGCAGCGCACGACCCGGATTCTTCCAACAGCCCTGTCAGGTAACAGCGGCTCCCTGCTCATGTCTGCGATTCTACAGCAGGGTGCTGTATTCCCATCTCCTGTTCCCACATTGTGATGCTGTGGGTTCCGGGCACATCCAACCCACTTTTGTGTCTGTATTGAGCCGTAGCGGCAAGAGCGAAACAGGATCAGCCCACCTTCACATTTTACTGATTCAACACGTGTGTCCTGATTTTCCGAGGCCATTACCATGTAGCAGTATTGTGAGGCATCCGTTATTATCCACAAGACATAGCTTCGCTCCTAGTCAACCAATTACCCTGAGCTCTTTCATAGCAAAGTGTGTTCAGAGATGATGTGACGCGTGTCCTAGTTATAGGATTATTCATGTGCTAGAAAACTAATTGTATAAATCATTGAAATTAGGGATTCATGTTTAGACAAATCTTTTTTGTTTGTTTTTTACATATTGGTTTATTTGGATAGGATATGTTTATTTGGTTTATTATTAGCTACACTTATAAAAAAATAAAATAATCCCTTATCTAGATACAAGGATTATTCTAAAATGTCTTTTGAGCAGTCCTGTACAGAGAATAGACACATTGTTATAACCAACCAGTCTCTTTAAGACTAAGAGAATTTAGCCCTAGAGCATTACAAAATATCATAGTATTTCCGTTTCACACTTTTTACCTATAATTTACAGTCTGAAGTCTACATGTATGTTTTTGTGTGTGCATGTGTTTGTGTGTGTGCATATGATAAATTATGTCCTTGTAAGTGAATATTATGTATAGAATATACTTGAAGTTATTATATGGTGTTACAGGTCATAATTTGGGTTCATAAGACTTTTCAATGTGACAGTCTGGATTTTGATTACAAATTCTATGAAGTATAAAAAAAAACAATGTTTTATATTCAGATATGTTCAGTGTTTGGATCTAACTTCTGAGCTAGGTCTGGACATTGACTACAGTGTGTCTTGAAAAAAATATCTATAATTTAGACAATGATTCTCAGTTCAGAAAAGCTCATAATTTTTATCTCCCTAAAATTATAAGCTCATATATATCTATCTATAGCTAATCATCTATATATCATCTATATATCTATCTATATATTTATATCTATTATATATATAGATATAGATATATTCTTTCCTTTCCTTTGTCTGACATTAATATTGTAGCCTAGTAAAGAATGGGTATAAAATACACATAATTGTTATTTCGAAACTGAAGTTGTAGTCACCATTTTCCTATCTATCTAAGAAATTCAGGCTCCATAGATGGTTGTATTTCAAATGCAGTGATCATAAGCCATTTCTAAGCTATAACCTGGGCACTAGACTATTTGTGAGTCATACATCCACCAGCGAGAACAAGCCTTTACCCTCCTCCCTGTAATAGCCCAGCCTTCACTGAGGTAAGCTCACCTCCATCCACCACGTCTTCTCGACTTACGCAAACTCGAGTGTGGGTTATGTTCTAGCCTCGCGTCGCTTAGTGACCCAGGTAAGTCTCCTTCCCTCATAGATAATCAGCCCAGCACAATTGTAGACATTGATCAGCTACTCAGGATAGTCTGACTTTGGCTTCAGTCCATTCATTTCATGGGGAGGAAGAGAGAATGCTTTCCTGAAGTTGGTGGTGTGGAAATAAAGAGACACACTAATAAATATCACAATTTGGTACTAAAGAAGAGGATTTAAGGACATTTTGATTTATTGCATTGATAATTTTATCTCGTTTCTTATTTTTCCTTTACCCATTTCTTTGTGCCTCATCTGTTAAAGCTTTTCAGAGTCAATATTTCACTTTTTAGGGTATTTTATTTGAATAAAAAAAAAGCGGTATATAATAATTTGGAGAAGAACAGGCCCAAGCGAGTATTGACGTGAGTTAGAGATGAAGTGAGCTCCAGGTATGCTCCCTAAAACTCAGAAATAGGAGAGGCAGAGGGTGACCTCTGTTTGTTTTGGAGGCAAAGACCCCTGCGACCTTCATCAGTGAAAAAAGCTGACCAGCCCCCTATGTCTACCTGTTTTCACTTTCTTAAAACTAATGAAAGTGACCTAAAAGTTCAAGTTAGTACTTGTGTCATTCTCTAATGCCTCAGTCTCATAAATAGAGAGAGACAACCTTTGTTCAGAGTGACCTAAAATGGTATTTTGTGTGTGACTCTTTCTTTTGCTTTATGTAACTTTAATTTCTTGACTTACGTTTAATGCTTGTATTCTTGGAACATTTATTTACCTTATACCTTTTTGTATAAGGTCAGCAAAGCCATTCATAGCTCGTATTTTTCTGGATTTGTCTCTCACATAGTTCTCCTTTCCTATCTATGTATAATATCCATTAAACCAGTTTCATTCTGTAGTGTGCTGAGTAGATGTGTGCCTTCTCTACAAGACTGGTCTCTTCCCAGCACTGCTGTGTGCTGAGTCACCTAGGGAATGCCACTTAGCCTGCTACGTTTCCATATCACCCAGTAAAAAGGAAAAGCAACCCTGATCCCTGCTTTAGCCCTGGCTTTATAAAGATTAAATAAGAAAGGGAAACTGATGCTTTTACCCTATGAATCGTGACTTAACTGTTAGGAAGTTGTATCATTTTACATTGCTATTATTATAACTCACTGTGTTTTTATGCCATTTTCATTTCAAAGTCAATAACATCAGTGAAAGGAGATGTGTTTTACAAGTAACTATATTGGCAGTCTATTTTGAAGATTGTTTTGTATTCACATATGTTCCAATGTATAGAAAATATGACGTAATTGTGTAATGGACAAAAGTGTGTATTTGCATTGGGCAATTATCAAAATGTGGGTAATTATCAAAATGGAAGCCCTCTGTCCACAAACGCCAGTGCATAGGTAGGCAGCACAGTCCTCTGAGGTCCTAGGAAAAGCGTTCTCCGGAATGAGATGGAGCCGGAGGTCTTACAATTGTCAGCTTTGTGATTATACACCTTTAGAAATAGTGTACTAAGCTCTTAGAGGGATGGAAAAGCGGTATTTATTTCATTGTAATTGTTTAAAATTAGGCCACTAGGATTTGAATTGTAAAGCAGTGTGGGAAGTTGGATAATTAGCGTTTGAATTTATTAACATTCTTTGTAGTATAAAACTGAGAGCTAGCATCTTTCATTTGTATGTGGAATATTTACTGATGTGTACAGCAAGAGATTAGAATTCTAGAAAGAAATACACTGACTTGCCTCCAGCAATGCAGAATTGAGATCCTCACCCCACATGATCCCTGCTTTCCCCAGCATGTTAAAATGTTTACCTACTTTTGGCATTAGCCAAAAACTATGCATAACTCTTCTCTGTGCATCAGCATTTTCCTTAAAAATAAAAGGAATGGGGCACTGAATACCACCCTTGAGCATTTGGGGTGCTTAGAGGTATAGTAGCAGCAGGCAGAAAGATGAAAGGAACCCAGAGCACAGTGACGGCAGAGTACACCACCAGGTGGAATGTTCTGCCCTTGCTGTAGCTCACCCAGCAGCCAGACAGGTTACTCGCCCACCATTTCAGGTGCACTTTGTTTTCTTCTTTTCCCAAATAGAAACTAGAAGCCGAATGTAGAAATTATGTGATACCCGAGGCTACTTAGCCAGAAAACAAATAAGATGCCATTTTGAAAGCAGGAGTGGATAATTGAGGATCAGCAGTGTCTGGCACTTTTTCTTTTTTTCTTTTTTTAATGTAGTAGTTGCATACCATCTCATGTAAATTTTGGGCCTGCGTACCAAATATCATGCTTTATCGACTGAACTTGAAAGGACAGATTGTGTGCTTCGGTTTCTGATCATCTTTCTGAAGGGTAGACACTTCACTTCTGTGTTTCTCATCATTAAGATGGCAAAACTGTACGAGCAGCTGAGGCTGGAGGACCGTTCACGCCTCGTGTCAGAATTGGTAGACGGATAAATGAATCATCACATTAAGAGCCTTCTTTGTGCTTGACACCGGGGAAAGACTGACAGGAACAACAGAAATGAATAAAACATTTCCTCTGACCTCAAGGAACTTGCAATCTGGTTGAAGGAGTAAGAGCCCATCAAAGTGAAACAACATGACGGGAAAGTTTCAGGACTGGAACATGGCGAATTGTCAGATAAAGAGTCGCCGCTCTGAGCTCTCTGGTCATAAGACTTCATTTCAAGGAGTGATGGCAGAAACAGTGAGGATGTGAGGATGGCAGGATTTGGTCAAGCCAAGAAAACATTATGCAGAGTTTGTTTATGTTTTATTTACTTATGGCCTCAGAGTCTAGTGCTCTGTTATGAAATCAGCTAATTTATTTCTGTGGGCAGCACAGCAAGCCCGAAGTCGCTATGCCCAAAATAGCCAATGAATTGCAACATAATATTATTACAAATAAGATCCAAGGAGAAGAGGGGTGAATAAAAATTAATGAGGCTCATTTTCAGCATTTCTAACCAATTTAAGTACAGAACCACATTTGTGTTTATGTTCAAGGATGCCGGGATAAGATTTACCTGCAGGCTCTTTTGGTATCCTTGGTATTGTATGTTCTCAGATAAATGGTGATAAAATAGTATCAGATATTACATTATGTAGTGTGATTAGTCTGAGCGCATTTGGGGTACTTGAATAATTCAGTGCTTTTTTGTAAGTAGCTGGTATGCAGGTGTATTTGTACATATTATTTTGATCTAAATTATTTGTGAGTATCTGATTATTATAAGAAATTTAGTAAGCCAGTAACATAGAGAAAAGTAGTGGTTCATTTGAAAAGTAGCATAAATCAATTCCATGAGGAAAAGAGGAGCTGTAATCTGTTTCAAAATGCTGTTCAATTTAATATAACTATCATTAAAAGTGAAAAAAAAATGAGCATATGCTCAAGTATGGTGAATATGAAAAATGTGTTTTGTTAGGCTAGTGTACTTAATATCCATCCAGAGATAATTTTCCAAACTGGCTAAGTAGGAGATTCCTAATTTATTTGAGCCATTTTTTTTCATCTTTTATTGTGTTGCTATAAAATTAGAATGGT